GGGAGGAGACGCGGGAGCGGGGCCCGCCCTGGGAGCCCTTCCTGCTGATCGAGCGGGTGCGGATCCCCCGCGACACCCTGGTGGGGCGCAGCCGGCCCGGCCGCTACAGCCACATCCTGGACGACCTGTACAAGATGAACGTGCTGCCCGCGACCGCCCGGTGCAGCCGCATCGGGGTGCTATACGCACCACAGCCCGACGGCACCGCCGACATGCACATCATCATCAACGGCGAGGACATGGGGCCGAGCGCCAGGGGCCTGCCCACCGCCCGCCCGCTCTACGCCGTCGTTGATGTCTTCGCCTCCACCAAGAGCGTCCGGGTTATCCCAGTGGATTATGGCTGTAGGTACCTGCCCCCATCCCTGCGGCATGTGCTGTGTTGGCCAGGAGTGGGGGGGCTCTGGTGGGGTCACCCCGTAGTCCCCAAGAGTGGGAATGTCAGAGCATGACCCTGGTCAGAGGGACATGGGGTGCAGGGCACAGGAGAGCCCGTGGCTCCTGTGGAGCACAGGTGAGACCCACAGTGCCGCTGATGGGCAGTGTCTGCTGAAATCTCTGCCTTGGGGGCTGCGCTGGGGCCAAGGGGAGACTTCCCGTGCAGCAGCCCTGCTGGCCACCCTTCCTGAGTCAGGCAATGGGGGTGGCTGTTTGGGGCTGCCCCAGGGCTGTGAAGCTTCACTGTGCCCAGTCTCATCCACACCACGCGGCAGCCGCAGTCAACCAACGTCCTGCCCTGGCACCAAAACACCCACCTACACCCACCGCCCACCCCAGTATGACACACTGCACCTCCGCATCTGCCACATGCCAGGGACATGGCGTTCCCTGGGCAGAAACCCCGTGATGCCAGGCAGAACCTGGGCATTATCCTGCATCCCTTGGCTGGATGGGAGGGGCCAGGCTAATGAGGGCTAATTAGCGCTGGAAAAATCAGCAGATGCTGAGGATCAGGTGAGACTGAGCAAGAATGAGAGCAAGCACCAGGGTACCAGCTGCTCCCACCACAGGGAGCCACTGCTTCCCTCTTTGGTGCCAAGGACAGCTGCTTCTGTCCCAAGGCTGGGATTCTCCATGGTTTAACACCTGAGGAGAGTGTTGACCACAGTGGATGGCACCTGGGCTGCAGAGCCACCTGAGGCTCTGGGAGGAGGAATCCCACAGGGTGTTGTGTCACAGCAGCAGGAGCCAGGCAGAGCCTGGGCAAGCACCCCGGGAATAGCTGATGGTGGTCTGTCCCAAAGGCACGGTGGGCACTGTCTCTGCAGGCAGCACAGCCCTGGCCAGTGGGTACCCACCTGCCAGCCTGGTGCTGGTGCCAGTGGAAGCAGACTAAGGGAGTGGGATGTAAGGGAAGTGCAGTGTGGGCACATGAGACCCTGGGGAGTTGCTCAAGAGCCGCCAGAGAAAGAAATGCAAACAAGCCACAGTCCTGCACAGCTTGGGAGCATAACTGTTTCCCAGCCTTCCTCCTATTAATGGGAAGAGCTTTGCTGCCTGGGGCCCTTAAGCTCTCAGCCCTGTGGGAGCAACCAGGTCCTGCACAGCTGGCTTGAGCCCAGGGCAGGGTGATGCTGCAGAACAAAGTCACCCCACCATTGCCCTTAACTCCAGTACCTCTGAGGATGCCCAGACCAGCTCCTACCCCCCTCTGTGCTCAGCCTCACCACTGACTCGCCCAGCTCAGCTGCTCTCTCTGTTCTCTTCCAGTTCCCTCCCTGCAGACGCTGTGCCGGCTGGTCATCCAGAAGCACATCGTGCACCGCCTGGCTATCGAGGGCCTGGACCTGCCCCAGCTGCTCAAGAACTTCTGCCAACATGAGTGAGGTGTTGAGGGCACTGCTGGGCTGTCCCCACTGCCAACAGGTCCCCAGTGATGGCTGCCTGGTAGGATCCATGCCCTTTGTTGCCCCCTCGCCCCGGTACGTGCTGCCAAAGGGCCAACATGAGAACAGGCAGCATGGTGTTGGGATTTTCCACAGGGACGGTGCTGCAGGGCCAGAGTGTGGGCAGGGAGCTGATGTGGTTCAGAGAGAGCAATAAAGCACTTCCAGACAAGAGTCTGTCAAAGGAGGCTTGGGGCGCTGAGACCTCCTGTGCTTCAGCAGCCACTTGTGGAGCAGTTCCCCCGGCAGCAAGGAAAGGAGCACAGGCCACACACAGCCCTATGGGGCTCGGGACCTGTCCGTAGCTCTGGAATGATGCTGGGATTGCCTTGGTGGATCAGAGTGAGCGCTGGGGTGGGTGGAGCGTGGGAGGGCACTCACGTGGAGGTAAATTACAGCCAGACGCTCATCCTGGCTGGGCAGTTTCACTCTTGGGAAATATGTTTACCCGGAGAGCGATGAGTTATTTCCTGTGTGCTCAGCTAGGAGGGGGACGGGGGCGGACGCCGGAGCACCCAGAGAGCAGCGCTGGCAGCAGCCGTTGCTTGGGCACGTGCCTGTGGCCACAGAGCCAGTCACGGTGACCCTGTGCAGGGCCCAGCCATCCCGCCTCCCTGCCTGGGGAGTGGAGCCCAGCACTCCTTGGCTCTGTGCCCTCAGCCAGACTCCTCATCCACCGGCTGGTGGGGATGGCAGCCAGGATCCAGCAGCGCCTGTACTGGGCTGGAGAGGGGAGGCAGGGTAGGAGTTGTGCAGAGCAACAGGCAGGGTGGGGAAGAGCCCTCCAAAAACCAGAGGGGTACCCAGAGGTGCCAGAGAGATGGTGAGGGGGCTGGCAGAGCCTTCCAGGCCTCTTCCACAGCACGGCCAAGGGGAGAAACAAGCAGCTCCAAGCTTACAGAAAGGTGTTTTAGGAAACACGATGCTATATTTAGTCAGAGACTCGATAGTATCAGCTCATGTTACAAAATTCTGTCTCAAAGGAAATCCCCAGCCCGCAGTGACGGCTGACTCCATCAACACCAAAGTGTTAATGAAAGGAGCGCTGATCAGGGAAAACATGGATCGTGACCAAACCATGCAACAGGAGCGAGGTCTCTGGCATTCCCTGCCATGTCCCACCAACAGGCTGGGAGCTGCTGGAGCTGCTCTGGCTGCAAGAGGGCCAGGGAGCTCACCCCAGAGCAGCAGCCGTGGGCCAGGCGTTTGCTCTCCGTGCTGTTTTCCCTCCCCCAGCCGTGTAGCCTTTGCTCCCCACCTCCCCCGGCGTTATCTGCCCGGCAGTGACCCCTGCACACGGGGGTGGGTTCCTCTTTCTTGAGGAATTGAGAGCAGCTGCTGAAACCAGATAAACCACTCCCCTTCTCCAAAGTGGGGCTGCAGTGCAGTGGGATTGCCACCCTCAAGAACTGCCACTTCCCACCACCCGGGGCACTGCGGTGGCACACGACCACCAAGCAGCACTGCCTGACGCCTGGCACCCCATCCCCTGGCCAGGGAGGGGCATCTGCAGCTGGCGCAGGGACAGACACAGCTCCCAAACAGCACAAGGCTGATTTATTGGCTCTGTTGCACAACACCCCACAGCTGGATGGTGCAAGGACCTGTGAGCGCTGGCCACAGATGAAATGATTTTGTCACATGTTATTATGGGGCCTGATGGGATTCATCTGAGAATCCTCAAAGAACTAGCTGATGTCATTGCAAAGCCTCTCTCGATGATTTTTGAGCAGTCCTGGAAATCTGGAGAGGTCTCATCTGACTGGAAGCTGGTGAACGTTGTCCCAATTTTTAAGAAGGGCAAGAAGGAGGACCCCAGAAACTACAGGCCTGTCAGCCTCACTTCAGTACCTGGTAAAATCATAGAAAAGATTATTCTGGAAGGTATCAAAAAACACCTGGAGCACAAGGTGTTTTTGACATTGGTCACAGGCAGCATGGCTTCAGGAGGGGGAAGTCCTGCTTGTTGAACCTGATTCCCTTCAACAACAGGGTAACTCACCTAGTTCACCTAGGAAAGCCAGAGGACATAGTCTTTTTGGACATCAGCAAAGCTTTTGATACTGTCTCTCACAGGATTCTTCTGGACAAGATGTCCAGCCCACAGCTGGACAACCGTGTTATGTGATGGGTGAGCAACTTGTTCACAGGTCAGGCGTAAACACTTATAGTGATTGACATCAGGTTGGGATCTGGTCACTAATGGGGTTCTGCAGGGCTCCATCCTTGGCCCAGTTCTCAACATCTTCATTAACACCTTGGACACAGGATTGGAAGGAATACTAAGTAAATTTGCCAATGACAGCGAACTGGGAGGAGCTGTTGACTCCCTCCAGGGCAGGGAAACCCTGCAGAGAGACCTCGACAAATCAGAGATGGGCAATCACCAACTATATGAAGTTTAACAAGGGCAAATGCCAGGTTCTGCACGTGGGATGGGGCAACTCTGGTTGTGTGTATAGACTGGGAAACAAGAGGCTGGAGAGCAGCGCTCTGGGAAAGGACCTGGGGGTCCTGGTTGATGGCAACTTGAATATGAGTCAACAGTGCCCTGGCAGACAGGAGGGCCAACTGTGTCCTGGGGTGCATAAGGCAAAGCATTGCCAGCCACTCAAAGGAGGTGACTGTCCTACTCTACTTATCCTGCTCTAATATTCACTGGTGCAGCCTCACCTTGAGTCCTGTGTGCAGTTTTGGGCACCACAATATAAAAAAGACACTAAGCTATTAGAGAGCATCCAAAGGAGGGCCACCAGGACGGTGAAGGGTCTGGAGAGGGAGCCGCGCGGGGCGTCATCACCGCGGTAGGACTCGACCCCGCCCGCCGCGGCGGGACCGGAGCGCTCGGGCGCCGCCCGGAGCGGCCGCCGCGCATCGCACCGGGAGCGCACCGCTCCTCGGTGCGTCCGGCCCTCCGGCACCGGTTCCTGCCCGGCTGCCTCCCCCGGTGACCGAGCCCAGGTGGCCGCCAGCGCGGAGCTGCGCTCCTTCAGCTGCTCCCCGTTGCTGTGCAGCAGCAGGCGGGTCAGCTCGAGGCTGAGCGATGGACTCTCTCCTCCCTGCTCTCGGGCCCGCTGCCCGCCGAGCGCGGCCCGGGGAGCTGCCCCCAGGGGGATGAGGGGTGCCGGTACCGCCGCTGCCAGCGCCTGCATAGCACAGCTCCCTCCGCACGGCCCCGTGCTCCGGCAGCACGGCCAGGATGTGCCGGCAGGGCAGTTGGTAGCGGCGGTGGCAGTCCTGGCTCACCCAGTGCACATCCTCCAGCTTGTAGGCGCGGAAGCGCTCCTTGAAGTCCCGGAAGCTGAGGAAGCGGGCGCCCAATTCCGCGGCGGGACCCCTTCGGTCCTCTCGGTCTCTCCGGGACCCGTCCCGACCATCCGCCGCCGTTAAACCGTGGGGCACCGCCCACGCCCTGATCGTGGCCAGTCAGCGCCGTTCTCTCCGGATTGACAGGAGGCGAGCCAACCAGCACAGAGCATCCTGCTCCCGCCCTCTGACTGACAGCTCTGCCATCCAATCATCTGGCGGTGCGCGCCGCGCGGGCGGGCGGAAGTTGCCGCCGTCGGGGCCGCCGGTCTCGGAGGCGATGGAGGCTGCGGGCGGCACCGGCGGGGCGGGCGCGGGGCCGGGGCGGCCGCCGCCGCCTCCCGGGGACCTGCGCAGCGTGCTGATCACCAGCGTGCTGAACTTGGAGCGGCTGGAGGTCGACCTCTTCAGGTGCGCTGCGCGGGGGCGCCGGGCCGGCGGGACCGGGGCGGCCTCTCCACACGCTGCCGCCGCCGCTCACCGCCGCCACCGCCTTCTCCCCGCAGGGGCCGGCACCACTGGGTGCCCGCCACGCAGCGCCTCTTCGGCGGGCAGATCGTGGGGCAGGCGCTGGTGGCGGCCGCCCGCGCCGTGAGCCGCGACGAGCAGGTGCACTCGCTGCACTGCTACTTCGTGCGGACAGGTGCGGATCCGCGGCTCGGGGGGCGCCGGGACCGGGCGGCGGCCCGGAGGCTGGGGGACCCCGCAGGGTGAGCAGGCGCCCCATCCCGGCCCCATCCCGGCAGGGAGGGTGCGGGTGGCACCGCCGGGCTCGGCCCCTGCTGGGCAGGTCCCCTCCGTGGTTCGGCGGCAGAATGTCGCTGTGCTGTCCCAGGGGACCCCAAGGTGCCGGTGCTGTACGAGGTGGAGAGGACTCGTACAGGGAAGAGCTTCTCCGTTCGCTCTGTGAAGGCCATCCAGCACGGAAAGCCGATCTTCACCTGCCAGGCCTCCTTCCAGCTCTCCCAGGGGAGCCCGGTGCAGCACCAGTTCACCATGCCCACCGTGCCGCCCCCCGAGGAGCTGCTGACACAGGAGGAGCTCATCCAGAAGTTCCTGCAGTGAGTGGGGAGGAAGGGGCATGTTGGGGACGCCCTTCTTTGTGGCTGGGACAGAGGGAGGTGCGGAGGAGGATTGTGGTGGCTGCCTGAGGAGTTTCCAAACATGCCTGGGAGGAGAGCAGAGGGGCAGGACAGGACAGGAGCCGTGCCCCTCCTCTCTCTGTGTGCCCCTGGGTCTGTGGGCTGGAGCTGCTGCTAGCAGGACATGCCTCTGCCTGCCTGGCATTAACCTCATTTCTCCATGCTGCAGGAATCCTAACCTGGCTGAGAGATACAGGAAACATCTCAACAAGATCCAAGCCGAAGATGTGCCAATTGATATTAAACCTGTGAACCCACCAGATATATTCAGCTCAGAGCCACAGGAGCCAAAGCAGCTCTTCTGGGTGCGAGCACGAGGCTACATAGGTGGGTCCTGCCGGGAAGGTGGTCCAGGTGCCTCCTGAGCCGAGGGCTCAGACTCTACCTCACCCTGTGGAGCACTGTCACGACAGAACGGGCTGGGAGGGCTGTGATTTGGGGGCTGCCTGCACCCCAGCCTGTGGGGAAGCCTGGGCATTTCGAGGCTGAAATGCAGATGTGGGTGAGGAGCATAAGGTGATGCTCCCAGCTGTGCTGGGGGGCAAGGGGAGCTGGTCTGGAAGAATCTCAGCTGTGCTTGGCCAGCAGCTGTCCCTGGGGCAGTGGAGCTCTGTGCCCCAGACGTGTCCCATGGGCACCCACGGGACGGGCAGTGCTGGTTGCTCTGCAGGGGAGACAGACATGAAGGTGCACTGCTGTGTGGCCGCCTACATCTCCGACTATGCTTTCCTGGGCACGGCCCTGCTCCCGCACCGGCAGTACCACATCAAGTTCATGGTGTCCCTCGACCATTCCATGTGGTTCCACGCGCCCTTCCGAGCTGACCACTGGATGCTCTATGAGTGCGAGAGCCCCTGGGCTGGTGAGTCCTTGCTGTGTCCCCTGGGGATCCACAAGGCCAAAGCCAGCCTGTCCCTGCAGCAGGCTGGGACACGAGAGGGGAAGGTGCTACTCTGGCACACGTTGCTTCCCCTTCTCACTTCTCCTGCCCTACCCATCCTGGGGGTGGTGGCTGCACTCTGACAGCTCCTCTGTGCAGGCGGGTGCCGGGGCCTGGTGCAGGGACGGCTGTGGCGCAGGGATGGGGTCCTGGCTGTCACCTGTGCACAAGAAGGAGTCATCAGGGTGGAACAGAGACCAAACCAGAGCAAGCTGTAGCTGAGGAGTCACAAGCTGGGGCTCAAGCATGCCAAGCAAAGGACCCTGGGATCAAGACAGGACCTGGACAGCAGCAGGAAGGAGACTGGGCTGGATCCAGCCCAGTGGGGAGTCCAAGTGCCAGAGGTGTCTGCGACGGACGGTGACCCACAGAGCATCAGTGTGACCAACTGGGTGCCATCAGCCACCCTTCACCCACTTAAAATAAAGCTGTTGGGTGAAGAGCTGGACTCTCTGCCTGGAGTTTGTCCCCTTGGATCTGTGACTGTGCTTGCCCAAGGGCGGGCAGCAGTGGAGTAATGGGGGACCAGCTCTGCCCCTGCCACAGGCTGAGTCAGGAGGGGAACCTGTGCCACGTGTGCTGCTGTGGCACACGTTGCTTCCCTTTCTCGCTTCTCCTGCCCTGCTTGTGCCCCGGTGCCTCAGTTGCTGCTTCTGCTTGCCCTTGGGCTCCTCCCCAGGGCTGGGCTCAGGCTTGGGCCCAGCTGGGAGCCAGGGAAATGGGATGAGGCAGCTCCCACCTCCATGTGGAGGCTTGAGGCCTCCCCCTGATGGTGCCCTGGGGGCATGGGGTGGAACAGACACAGCAGGCACTTTGCTCTTCTTCCTGCCAAGACTTTATTTAATAAAGTCCTTTTTATTATATAAGTTTTATGGGAAGTTCCCGGCAAGAGACCCAAACCCTGCCAAAAGCCTTCCCGTTCCCTTGTGCGGTGCCAGTATGTCCCAGCTAAAGTCCCAGCCACTCCAGGATCCCCCACAGAGGGGGAGTGGCTCCAGCAACGTCACTGTGGGCGGTGGACCTCTGTGAACCCCTGTGAGCCCCCAGTCCCACCAGACAGACTAACCACAGAGAAAGTGCATTTAGGAGGCAGCTCCAGGCACGGGCCATGCTGCCATGGGAGTGTGGCACTGCATCCCTGCCACATCCCCACTCACGGCAGTGCCCTGCTCCTGGCCGCCATGGGTGCGAGTCCCCTGCAGCCCCTGCCCTCCTGCCCAGGCAGGCACGGGCTGCTTCACTCCAGAGGCTCCTTGATCAGGCACTCCTTCAGGGAGGGCTGCTGCTGCAGGGGCAGCCCAGCCTCCCGCAGGTCCTGCAGCCGGGCCTCCGAGCGCCGCTTGTCCTTGCCCACCTTCCAGGCCAGGTGGATGTGGGCCTGCAGGAAGGGCCCCAGCAGCGGGTGGCTGCCCTGGGCCTCCAGCAGCTGCAGTGCCTGCTCACAGCAGCTGTGGGCCTCGCCGAGCTGGTCCAGCTCCTGGTGGCACACGGCCAGCCCGGCCAACGTCAGGAGGAAGCGGCCGGAGCTGCAGACCCCCAGCCGGTCCTGCAGCCGGTAGGCGTTGGCCCAGGTGGCCAGGGCCTCGCGGTACATGCCGGTGCAGGTGAGGCGCTGCGCGGCCCGCAGGTCCGGCAGGAAGAAGAACTCGAGGAACTCAGGGGAGCGGCGGATCTCGTCGATGGAGTGCAAATGGGACAGGAACTGCTCGAAGGCTCGGCTCCGCTTGGCAATGGTCTCGGCGGTGAAGTTCCGGCGCAGCCTCTTCCTGGGGAAGGCAACGCCGGCCATGTCGCAGCCGAAGCGGCAGCGCAGGCGGCGGTTCAGCTGCTCGAAGTCTGAGTAGCGCCGGGCGATGGTGGCGGGGGCCTTGTCAAACTGGCCGGTGCGGATCAGGTAGATGGTGTAGAGCTGCGGGGGAGCCGGGTGTCAGGCAGTGCCACGGGTGCGCTGCTCCTGGGGCTGGCAGAGCCAGGTGTGTGGCCACAGAAGGGCTGGGGGGGTTTGCCTGGGCAGAAGGGAGTGGGCTGGGCTGCCACAGCCACAGCACCCACCAGAGATAGTTACCTGAGGCTCATCTGAGCCGCCAACACCATCCAAGCAGCAAGGGGAAAGAGAGAGAAATAAGCACCAGCCCCGTGGGACCCCTGGCCCGGAGGAGAGCCAAACCCACACCCACCCTGTGCCTGCCCAGCCATGCCGGGCTCACTCACCACGTACTTGGAGGAGCGCTCGCTGACCACGCTGGCGCTGGTGACCTCGAAGAGCAGCCGCTGCGGTACCAGGCTGCCCCGCGACCTCCGCCACAGCTCCTGCAGCTGCCGGGTCAGCAGGCTGCCGCCGGGGCGCTCCGCCGCGGGGCCCCACTCTGTGCGGGGAGAGGGGTGTCATTGCCCAGCGTGGGGACAGGGCTCTGCCAGCCCCCCGACACCTCCGGGCTGCCGGACCCCACCATCGCACGGGTCCCCCCGGGGTGCTGCTGCCCTGGGGAGGGGGGTCGCCCCAGTCCCCCCAGCTCACCGCCCCAGCACTTGCCTCCGTCCTCCGTGCCTGCTGCCGCTCCCTGCGCCTGCGGCGGCTCCTCCAGCTCCTCGCTAGCTCCGTCCTCCTCCTCCTCCTCCTCCTCGTCCTCGTGGCTGGTGAAGCTCAGGGTGCCGCTGAGGCGCGTCGACAGCCCCTCGGTGTCGTCCTCCAGCTCCGAGCTCTCCGGGCAGTCCTCGGCCTCGCCGCCGCCTCCCGCCGGCTCCTCCCGGCCGCCCTCGCCGGCCAACGCGTGCCGCAGCCGGTGCAGGATGCGAGCGGCCATCGCTGCCCGGGGGTCCGGGCCGGCTCCCCGACACGGGGGGACCGGGGGCTGCCCACCGCGGCACGGCCCCGCGCGGGGACAGCCCGGCCCCGGGGCACCCCCCGCTGCTGCCCCCGCCCCGCTCCGCTCGCGCTGCCCCGGGCCGGACCGGGCCGAGCCAGGCGGTGCCGAGCGATGGCCGCTCCGCCACGGCTCGTCCCGGGATCCTCCCTGCGCGGCTCCGCCTCCGCCGGGAACCCGGATCGGGGCGGCGGAGCCGGCACCGCCCGGCACGGCCGGGATCGGGATCGGCCCCTGCGGCACCGCCCGGCGGGATCGGGATCGGCTCCTCCCGACACCGTCCGGCACGATCGAAATCGGGATAGGCCACTCCGGCATCTCCTGGCACGATCGGGTCAGAGTCAGGGCTCAGCCCGGCGCTGCCCGCAGCCCCTGCCCGCTGCCGCACCAGCTGCTGCCGCTGTCCCCTGTCCGAGATGTCCTGGTCAGCCCGAGCCACTGGTACCCGCCCTGGGGCCACAGGAGCCCGCACTGAGGTGCCCAGCACTGTGGGGCCCCAGGGTCTTGATACCCCATACCCTGGTACCCCAGTAGCCTGGCACCCCAGTAGCCTGACATCCTGGTACCCCAACACCCATGTATCCTGGTACCCCAGATGCAGGCTCCTGATTCCACTGGGCTGCAGCCCAGCAGGACATCTCCCAGGCCACCCTGGCACCCTCCGCCCTGGCCCCAGGCAGCCTCGCCACGCGCTCTGTGGCCAGGCTTCACCCTCGGCACTCGCCTGGCCTTTTTTAGTGCCCGCCCGCTCACTCCTCAGCACTTCCTTGGGAATGTCTATTAATATCGAGGAAGCAGCCCAGCTGCTGCCATCACTCTGCCCTGCTTGCCCGTTGCACGCTGCTCCAGCACCCTGCACCCCACCGGTCAGACGAGACCCCTGCCCTCCCCTGGGCAGGGTGCAGTGCATACGGGGCTGGGCTCATGCAGTCCCCAGGTCTCACCTGGGGAATGAGGGTCCCAGCAAAACCACGAGCCAGAGAACCCCTGTGTGTCCCTGTCACTGGGAGCTTATGGGACAGGGATCCATCAACCTGACCCCACTGCACCCCTGAGGCCCAGAGCACTGCAGGGCACGGGTCATTTGGCCAGTGCATTCCCAGAGCCACCAGCCCCTGGCAGCGGTGGCTGGCACGGACTGCAGGTGTGAGGGCTGAGCCTTCCAAGAGGCAACGGGCATAATTCCCACTCCCCTGAAGCACGGAAAGACAGAGCCTTTTCCGGACCCAGGTGCCAATGTTGCTGGGGACTCTAAACTGCAGGGCTTATTTTCCAAAACCCTCCAGGGACTTTGTGCCCCAGGTCCCACTGGGGACCCTTTTCTCACCGGGGGTAGAGGGCTGCAGCATAGCTCTACCGTGGGCTCCCAGAGCAGAAAATGGGGTTGCAGGGAAGGGACACTGCTCCTGGGAAGCCCAGGTTCACGCTGAGAGCCTGTCCCAGGCAGAGCTGCTGGTCTGGGGGACAGTGGGCAATGTTCTGTGCCCCCCGGGTGCAGGGGGGACCCTGACTCCCTTGCCTGGGTGATGCTGACAGCTCCAGGGCTATTTTTAACCCCCTCATTGCTGAGTTTCCCTGGTCGGGAGGTGCTATGGGGGTGGGCAGAGCCGCCCTCCTGCCACAGCTCCAGTGTCCCTCCTGGAGGGCTTGAATTTCCATCCCAGCCTCAGCCCTACGTTAATCCCAACCCTTGGCCAATAAAGCTTTGGCTAAATTAGGTAAAGGCGCCAGTTGCCGGTGAGCGGGGCCGGGTGCTACCAGGGTGCTGATAGGCTGTGGGGGCTGAGGGGCAGCAGCTGGGGGCACAGCCCACAGAGCAGACGCTACAAATTGGGGTGCCAGGGGTACCGCGGTGCTTCTGGGAGTTCCTGCTGCAGGAGCTGGTGATTCTCTGGGGCTGGGAAGCACAGTAAATTCCCACAATGGTAAGAGCCCCTGTGTGTTGTGTGCTTTGTGCTGCATGCCAGGATGAGACCTGATCGGGCAGGAGGCACCAGGCACTGCATGCTCCAGGGAATCTGGTCTGCGGAGGTGCCTCTGTGGAGGGCAGCGGGGAGAGAGTCCCCAGGGCTGGGCTGGCCGTGGCGGTGAGGGCAGGAAGGTGTTGGGGAGGTGCAAGGTCCCCCCAGGACATGCCTGGGGGGCACTATGTTCCTGGGGACTCAGCCCTGTCCGGAGCTCGGGGCTGTGCAGAGGTGGCAGTGGCAGTGGGTGGCTGAAAGCCGAGCGCTGGGTCATACGACACGGTGTCACCGCCGGTTCCACGGCCAGCCTGCGCCTCCAGCAGAAATTCGATCGGGGCCGACAGGTGCCACGGCTCCAGTTCCAATGATCCCTACAAGGGGAGCTGAGGAGATTCCAAAAATAGTGTTGCATGCCTAGGATGCCAAGGCTGCACACAGGGACCATGGCCCCTGCACTATGGAGCCCTCCACATGGTGGGGGGCCTGGGCAGGTGGCTCCCTGCAGCCCCCACGCTCATGGATGCCCGGGAAGCACTGTAACCATAGGGATTGCTGAGGGCTGTGGCTCATCGTCCTGCAGCAGGGCAAGGGCTCTCCCCACAGCCCTGTGCTGTCAGGCCACACTGTGCAAGGGGTCTCTGGCCTGATGTGGGTGGCCACGATGACCCCTTCTCCTTCGTCTGGCAGACGGACCAGCAGGCAGAAGCCCGTGCCTTCCTCAGTGAGGAGATGATTGCGGGTGAGTGCAGGGGCAGTGGGGAGAGGGGCCAGACATGGCCATGGCTTGGGGCCCAGATCTGCCCCACTGCCTGGCCCTGACCTCCCTCTCCACAGAGTTCAAAGCCGCCTTCGACATGTTTGATGCTGATGGCGGTGGAGACATCAGCACCAAGGAGTTGGGGACAGTGATGAGGATGCTGGGCCAGAACCCCACCAAAGAAGAGTTGGACGCCATCATCGAGGAGGTGGATGAGGATGGTGAGCAGCCCTTGGTGGTGGGTGACAGGAGTGAGCACTGGGCACTGGGTGGGCAGCCTGACCTGTGCTCAGCTTCCTCCCTGCAGGCAGCGGTACCATCGACTTCGAGGAGTTCTTGGTGATGATGGTGCGCCAGATGAAAGAGGACGCCAAGGGCAAGTCTGAGGAGGAGTTAGCCAACTGCTTCCGCATCTTCGACCGGTGAGTGGTGGGGGTGAAGTGGCCCGTCCTGCCTGCAGGGATGAGCAAGGTCACATCCCACCCTCACCCTCCTTCAGGAATGCCGATGGGTTCATCGACATTGAGGAGCTGGGTGAGATCCTGAGGGCCACCGGGGAGCCTGTCACCGACGAGGACATAGAGGACATGATGAAGGACTCAGACAAGAACAACGATGGCCGCATCGACTTTGATGGTGAGCAGCAGCCCTGGACGGGTGCCTGTGCTGTGCATCAGGGCAGGGCCGTGAGCTGAGGCTGCCCCTCTCTTGCAGAGTTCCTGAAGATGATGGAGGGTGTGCAGTAAGGGACCAGACATTCCTTGGGCCGGCTGCTGCACCCAGCCCCGCTCCCCCACTGCCCAGGGAGCAGCAGCTCTGCAGCACCTGGCCCCCAGCACTGGCTGAGACCCTGCTCCGTGCCAGGGCCTCGGTCTCATCCCACTGCCGGCGGCTGAGCTTTTCCTCCCATCTGTCAGCTGTGGCTTTGGTTCGAGCCTCAATAAAAGAGGAAAGGCTTGAATTGCTTGTGCAGGACTTCACTGGGGGTGCACGGGGAGGGGGCTGCGGCACTGTGCCCCTGCCCTGCTCCCCAGGGAGGGGAACATGCCTGGCGGGTGCCCTATGCCAGGCAAGTTCACATCGCAGTCCTGTGCTGGAGGGGCAGCACAGGGCTGTGGTTCCCACGGGCTCTTGGGCAGGCGCCAGCGCTGAGCTCAGAGTTTCCGTTCGGAGCAGCTGGTTCACACGCCAGCGGGTGAGGGAGCACAGCCCCGGCCCCAGGGGTCCTGCTCCAGGGCAGGGCTGTGGGACCACAGGGGTTCTAGGGAGCCACTACCACCTGCCCCATTGGAACCCACATCTCCCCCCCAGAGGACTGGCATGTAAGGTAGAGGGGCAGCAGTAGCCCCCTCCCTGTGAGGTCAAGATGACAGTGGAGTCTCTGTGTCTGGACAGGCTGTACCAGCCTGTTGGACAGCACAGCTCCCTGGGGACCAACTGGGGCGGAGCACAGCAGGGGTGGGATGAGGGGAACACAGTCCCCAGCTGGCGTGGGTGGGACTGTGGGACCAGCACAGTGCAGCTGGCAGGACACAGCTCAGAGCTGGTCACATCCCTTCTGCGCAGCACTGTGGCACAGGGAAACTGAGACCCCAGGAGGGCCAGGGACCACCCCGGGCATCCTGACCTTGCCCTGTTCTCACGGGGAGCAATGGCACCAGGCAGAAGGGACGGGTGCCGTGGGCGGGGGGCAGTGGGGACATGTGCAGCAGCACAGGCTGCCCTCTGCAAGGCCACAGCTGGACACCGGCAGCTGGTGCTGCAGCTTGGGGGCAGCGGTGACAGCCCTCGGCTGCGCGAGGAGCGGCGCAGGAGGAGCGCGGAGGCCCGTGAGCTCAGCACCGGTAAGGAGGGGGCTGCTGCAATGGGCAGCAGGCACAGAGCCCCCCTGGACCCACACCAAGGCCACGGAGGGGCTCCAGGGCCACTGTGGCTTAGCATCCCGTGTCCCACAGGGCTGCGGCAGGTGCTGCTGGCAGGGGTGAGGCAGGGACCAGCGAGCCTCCCGGAGCGGCGGGAGCTGGAGCGGCTGTGGGTGCTCTTCCTCTCCGCTCTGGAGCTCTTCCTGCAGGATCTACGCAGAGCCCACCACCTCTGCCAGCTCTTCTCCATGCAAGAGGGTGGCGTGGCCCCACTGCGCACTGGGCTGGGGGGCTGGGGGCTGCCTGGCCGGCGAGGGGGGGTTTCCATGCAGCCCCCAGCTGCCCAGGGCTTAGAAGAAGAGATTGAGCAGGTGAGGGCCACATTGTCAGAGATGGAGAGTGGAGCCAACATTCCACTGTGGACGGTGGAAGCCACGGAGACCACACAGCCAGCAGGGATAGGTGGCACTGCAGCCAGGGGGGCTTGGGCAGGGCCCTGCACTGGGCACTGCTGTGGGGTGCTCTGAAGGGGAGGCCAGGAGGCAGCAAAGCTGGCAACCCCTGGCACAGAGCAGGGTACAGGGGCCCCCATGTACCCCCACAGTCCCCAGTCCCCTGCCCATGCAGGCATTGCTGGAGGCTGCCCCCACCCTGCAGAGGGAATGGGACCACTCCAGGCCCCCTAAATGTTGATAGAGCCCCTGTTACCTGATGGGGGTCGGTATCCCTCCCTGCCCACACTTGCAGAACCCCCTGCAGAAGTCATAAATGTGCATTTATTTATACATTAACCGTGGCTCGGACTGCGACATTAATTTAAAAACAGCCTATGATACAGAATGTGGGGGGCACCGGGCAGGGGAGGGTGGTGGGAGGCGGGGGTGATGGTCAGGTCTCCTGGCCCTTGGCCTGCTTGTTGTATGTCTCCCTCACGCACTTCTTGTAGGCTGAGGAGAGAGGTGGGACATGGTGATGAGGGTCCTGGGGCAGCTGCCAGGGCTGGACAGGCAGTAGGACACAGCAGGGTTGGGGGCTGTGCTGCTGCCCACCCCAGTGGGGAGCGGGCAGGGAGGTTCTGCCCCAGGCACTCACCGACTTGGTTCTTCCAGAGCTCGGCCGCGTGTGTGTTCAGGGGGCTCTCGATGTTTGGCTCTGGAAACAGGGGCTGGGTCAGCTGGTGGGGTGACTTGGACACCTCGGAGCCCTGCTCTGAGCAGGGGATCCCCAACCCCACACCATCACACCCTCCCTCAGTACCCCATGGCAAGTGCAGTTGTGGGACCCACCTGCCAGCAGGCTCTGGACGGAGAGCAGGATGGTGCGGACGTCGTAGAGTGCCGACCACTTTTCCTTGAGGATGTCGAGGCAGATGTTGCCCTGAGTGTCGACGTTGGGGTGGTAGCAGGGAGTCAGGAACCGCACGGTGGGCGCCGTGTAGGGGTACCCGCTGGGGAACTCCAGTGACAGCTTGTACCGCAGCTCCTCGTAGGGCTGCGGGTGGGAGTCACAGGGGCTGGAGTCAAGGGGGTGGGAGGGAAAACTCGAGGGGAAAAAAGGGGCACAGGGGGAGCAGAGGACTGCGACCACTCTCAGCTGAAGGGAGGAGGGTGGAGCAGGGTCAGGGTCCCCCAGCCCGGGATCCAGCCTCTCACCGTGCCAGCGGCGCCGTCAATGGTCCCAATCCACTTGAACAAGTTGTCGGACTCGGGGAAGGCGGAAATGCCTTTGTCACCGGACATCTGCGGGGCAGTACGTCAGGGCGGCCGGGACAGCCCGAGACCCTCCCGCCCCGGGATCCCCAAACTCCGACTCGGCCCCACGACCCTCCGCGACCCCACTCACCATCAGCGCCATCAGCTCCTGCTGCAGCCTGCGGAGGGGGAAGAGCACGTTACCGGCCGGCCCGGCGGGGCATCCCCCGGCCGCAGCCCCCGGTCCCCGTCCCCGCTCACCTCTTCCCCACCGCACCCCGGGCCGGCGTGGCCCCCGTTTCGGCCGCTTTGCGAGCGGCTGCGCTGGACACGGCGGCGGGGTCGGCGTTCTGCGAGGCCATGGCGGCTCCGGGGGCACCGACTGGCGCACCCGCCTCCGCCGCCGGTGGGTCACGGGCTGGACGCGGCTCCCCCTCCCGGGCGGCGCCGCACCAGGCTCTGCCCGCTTCCTCCTTCCTGCGCTCGGGGCAGGACTTGGGCCCCGCTGCGGCTCTCCCGGTGCCGCGGGCTCTCCTAGCGGAACTCCCCGGTGCGGTGCGGAGCGACGGTGCTTAGGGCTCCCTTGGGGCGGCGCAGGACACTCTCCGGTTGCGGTGGCGGCCCGATCCCGGACACCCCGGTGCAGCGGCGGCTCGGTCCCAGTCGCTCCCCCACACGATCGCCCCGCGCGGCCCTGCCCGCTCCCGCGCCCCGTTTGAATGTGTCCCCGTGCGGCCCCTCCGCCAATCAGCGCGCAGCCCCGTTCGAGCCGCCCAATCACCGCCCGCCGGCGATGCGGCTCCCACGGTAACGGTCAGCGGCCGCTGATTGGCCGTCGGGCTCTGACGCACCGCGCTGTGATTAGTCGCTGCCCAGCGAGGGGCGGGGCCACGAGTCCCTGATGCCCTTAAAGGGCCAGACGCCCCTGCCCGGTGCCCAGGAGGCGGCGAGGTGGGTGCGAAGCGGTTTTATTGGGGGACGGGGGAGGGGGGCGGGCCCTCGGGGGGCGAGGCCTCAGGGTTCGGGGGGGTCCTCGGGGGGCGGCGCGTCCCCTCCGCGACGAAGCGTCTCCATGTGTTTCTGCATCTTCTCTGTCATCCAGGCCGGCGGGATGAAGGGCTTCAGCTCCTCCAGCCGCAGGTCCACCGAGTCCCTTGGGAGGGAAGGGGCTGAGACAGAGGGACCCCGGCACCCACTGCGGACCCCAAACCCACCATGGACCCCAAGCAGTACCAAGCCCAGATCCACCAAACCCGCTATGGACCACAACTAGCACCACGGCCAAACCTACCATGAACACCCAGCCAGCACCAAGCCCCCCCAACCCTTGGCACCAAGCCCCCCCAGCTGGCATAGAACAGGATTCCTCCAGCACAGGGGCCCCAGGGAAGGATCCCTAGGCAGCATCTCTGCTTTGGTCCTCACCTGTAATCCTCACTGGCAGCCAAATCCCGAATGTCCTCTTCGATGAGGAGGTAGGCCTGTGGCACAAGGTGGGGAACACCTCAGGGCGCCTGTGAGGGGTGGCTGAGGCAGGATCACTCCCCCCATCCCTGGCCAGCGCTGTCCCTGCGGGATCCAGCTCTGCCCCTCAAGCCTGCACCCGAACCCCACAGGGCAGGCAATGGACCCTGGGGGCAGGTGTGCCCCCGTGCCCTGCCTAACCTCCTGCCACAGCTGCCCGTGCTGGCCCTGCGGCGGGCCCTGTGCCCGGCCGTACTCACCATCTTGCCCCCAGTGGCCCTCATGTGCTGCTGCTCTGCCAGCCAGTGCTTATCCTGCGGGTCGGCCGCGTACTGCAATAAAGCAGCGAGGACCGAGCTGAGCAGGGGCGACAGACCCTCGGCTCAGGCCCCCCCTCCTGCAGGACACTGTGCCCCCCATGTGCTGCCCGCGGGGGGAGCGCTCGACTGCACCGCCTGCCCTGCTCCAGCCTCAGCCCTGGCTCCAGCAAAACCTGCCATGTCGGCTCATGTTCCGTGTGCTAGCCAAGACCTTGGGAATGTGATCCAAGATAACAAACGAGGGCAAGGGTGAGGGAGTGAACAAACGAGCCAAAGCACGCGCCCCCGATTCCCATGGGAAACCGTCTGGCTGTGGCGTCTGACCTTAAAGAGGTGGGGATGCTTGATGTAGAGTCGCCCTCTTGTTCCTCCCATCCCGAGAGCTCTGCAAGAGAAACACGAAGGGTGTCAGGGCTGTGGGGAGGGCGGCTGCGGTGGCACGGGGACACCCCTCTCCTCCCCAAGCCCTTCCTACTGCTTTGGAGGCAG